CTCAACCAAGATGGCTGCTGAAGTCTCCCTCTCTCAGGGCACTGTAGGGAATTCCTCAGGGACCTATTCCCTTATGAGAGTCCCCTTCCCATGTCACAATGACACTACTCGGTGGGAAGGCTATTTACCTGCCTACACACATGCAATACTTTTAATTTTTTTTCTCCACTTCAGAGAATAGCGAAGGATTAGGCCATCCTTGTTCTAATAGTTTCCAACAATTTGAAAAAATTATGTATGTCAGAAAATTCCTCCAATGGATTGAGGAGCTTAGTATTGCCCCATTGGATGTTTAAAACCCTTGACTAACAAGCAATGGCTGAATGAGGAGCACATTCTGCCTTATATTATTCTATGGCAGTACACAAACAGCTCTTGAACATTAACGCCTGCAGTCTCCAAGCTGCCAAATGCTTTACATATATAGGAAAAAATCGACGTGTACTGAATAATACGTCAGTATTTTCTGTAGTCATCAATCAGATTCAAATCTACCCTGGAAAATGCACATTTAAACTTTCATCCCCAGACTGCTTACTATGGAGCAATGCAGAAAGTAATGATTTCAGACATTTTGATAAATAAGAGCCTCAATGATGTGTCACGCAATCAAATTGCCTTCACAGCTATTGTTTTCTATTTTTCAGGTTGAGCTTTTCTTTTTGCTTTAATCCTGGACAAGCCAGGCAGCAAATGCATTTCAAAATTCCAGCTGATGCTTAAAAATTTTAGACTTTTTTTTCTTTTCTTCGATCAATAGGAGAATGTGTCCCAGTTGGCTTTAGTACTGAACTGTTTGCTTCCTGTATTCTAAATCCGAATGTCCAGTACTGATGATATCAATACAATGCTGGAAATACCTTTATAGGCTGCTTTCATACTGATCTGTTTTCTTCTCCTTTCGCATTAAAAAAGCAGAAAAAAAAGGTGTGACCATGTAATCCTATGGGACTCTTCACACTGATCCATTGGGGGTTTGCTGTGTTTTTTATAATCCCACTTGCTGCATTTTTGGTGCAGGTTGGGTGTGGGAAAAAAAAAAAAGGACCTTCCCATTGAAATCAATAGAAAATGTATCAAAAATCATGTATGTATCAATGTATCAATGCACATGCATTGCGTTTTGGTGCGGTGTTTAAGTCACATGTCCTGTAAATAACGCACCGCAACCATGGTAAAAACAGGGCAGAAACACATATGTTTTTGCCGTGTTTTTGCTATGGATCAGTATGAAAGTAGCCTTACTGGTTTTGAAAAAAAAAAAACTCTTTAACAAAGTAAATAAAAAAAAAAACACAATGACTATTTTAACAATTTAAAGGCTATCCCCAACCCCAAAGAAAACAATATAACATAGTCCTTAGATGTGGTATCTGCATTATTTTTCACTGCTCAAGAATATTTTCAGCAACTATAGAAAATACTCGTTGCTCTTGCCAGAATTGGATTATCCTTGTAACTGATTTATTCACAGGATTATTAGGTGAAAAAGGGTAACATAGCTTGAAATAAAAGCAAACCAATGCAAACACATCAAAGCTGTGGTAAGCTGTGTGAGAGGGCTTCACAGTGTTGTATTGTAGATGTGGTGTCATCCAAGGTTCTCACCAATGCAGGTTGGGATATGAGTTGCATTAGGAAAAAACTGGTCTTGCAGGTTTCTCCAGGATGGGTAAATCCTGATAATTCGTTCTGGAGCCTAAAAGCTTTGAAGAGTATTAGGTGGGATGAGGCTTCCAACCCTAGGTCCATGTTTTGGTTACCAGAACCTGCTCATTGTACAGGTGTGCACAGGCCTTATAATATGGTATCCGAATAGAGTCCAGGTCTCCATCCGGGAGACAGGAGACCCTTGCCCAGAAGCCAGGTGTGGGCCAGTGCAGCAGGGGGCTACAAGAGATACAGAGTCTGAGTTTTGTGAGATGGTCTGGAGGACCAGATGTGTGCCTGAAGTGTGAGGTCAGAGCAGTGGCACTGTAAGAGTAAGCCAGGAGGCTGACAGAAGCATTTGTGTTGTTGTGCAGCATTGGAAGAGAAATGCTGGAAACCCTCTGGGTGGGGTAACCCTGTTTGTTTCTCTCAGGAATTAAACTTTCTTTTAATAAAAGTGTGCAGAGAAAGCCCCTGACGGCAAGGTTTGGTGAGCGAACTGTGTTCTTAAAGCTCAACCCTTGGCGCTAATTTGCCCACCTGCAATATATAACATTTTTGTTTGTGGGTTTAGATACGTTTAGCCGCATTTTTCTTTCTCAGTTGGTGTTTCAGATTCTAGCTATTCAAAATCTATTTTTTTTTTCTTGCAGGACCCATGAAGACAGACAAAAATGAAGGGTCACCATGTTGCTGATCAATTCTATCCAAACAGAGGTGATGAAGAGTCTGAATGTACCTGCAACCCGCTGCATGACATGTACTGTACTGTAGCTACTGACAAGGCAGTCCTGGTCCATGTATCCATGCCTCCTTTGCCTGTATGTTTGGGCACCAGTGTGGACATGGCAGAGACATACTGGATTTGGCATTGACACCATCTTAAAGCAAGCTGGATGTGGAAATCAGCTTTTGTCTTAGGAATGCCAGCAACACAAGGTGCCAGAGGGAGTCTGAAAAAGGGCTTTGGTAAACGAACACTGTGCAGCCTGCTGGTGGCATTATCCATCACTGCTTTGGTGGTTGCATCTTACGTGTTGTCTGGGGGAACATCAGAACTCTTTCAGGCCTTATCTTCACCCCTGTCCTTGACTTACAACCAATCCAGTACAGAGAAACCTAAAAACATTGTTCAGTCCCATCCAGCCATGTTCAGTAAATGTAACATTTATTACTCCTCGCTTGGATGTCTCTGTTACAAAGGAAGGAGGGATCCGGCTAACAGAACGGAAGATCCCAGATGTGGCAGAGCTGGAGCAGTATGAACCGCATGTATGAATTTCCTAAAACATTATAATTCTTTGAGACTGATTTTATTTTATGTTTTATTAGTGTTTATAGTCTAATATTTTTATTTTATTGTTTTACATTGAATGGGGAAGGTTAGAATCTATGTTGGAGTTTTATGATTGTCTTTGTCCCCACTGCAGAGGCTTCCACTGACAGGGGGTCTGATTGATAGTCAGGAGCATGGAAACTGAAGCAAAAGTCCTTTTTTTTTTTTTTTTTTTACATTTTTTTTTAAAGTTAAGAAAAGTCAGAAAGTTTTTCAGTTTTTTCGTTTCTTTGCCCTAGTGTCACAGGCACATATAGTGAACTCCTATAATAAGGCTTCCTTTTAGGTACAGTGAATATCTCCTAAACTTGCGGTGTTTTGGAGATATTCACACTGGATGCAGTTGGTGACGTCACCTGTCCATGCGCTCTGAAGGGACGGCATACCTGTGCTGTTCCTTCAGAGCTGTGTGCCGTAAACAGTGACTCCTGTGTGCATTCAAAGGTCTGGAGCCAGAGAACCCAGAAGGAAGACCAGGGGAAGATGGAAGCCCTGTCAAAGGTGACAGTGTGCTACTGGAGGGCTTTGTTCTAAGGTAGGTATTTTCATAATGTACTAGTATGTGATGTATACTAGCACATTATGCCATTGCCTTGCAGGGGATTTTTTTTTTTTTTTAATGAAAAGCAGCGGATTACTACTGCTTTAAGCTGGTCATAGAGTGTTAGTATTTTTTTTGTTCGGCTACAGCTACACCCTCTGATCGAGAAAAATTTTGCAACATATCCAAATTATTGACTTCTCTCAAGCAGGGACTGCCACACACTGAACTGGCTGAATTTCAATCAGTGTATGACCAAGCTTTAGGTGAAGACTTGCCAGAAGGTCAACTAAAAATATTGAACATCAAACCAACGAAAGAGAAAGCCTCATGCCATGAATGACGGTTGGCACATGGAGCTCTAACTCTAACTATGGGGAACCCCAGGTGATGTAGGAGTATGAAAGATAGTGAATATGTATAAAGTGTACACAGGAAGACAAACCAATACAAATAGAGGTGATAAAAGCAGGTAGCTCTTTAATTAATCAAAGGAACACTAACACTCAAAAGAGGGCAAGGAGAAAAGGCAGGACAATGCACATAGTGCAGTATTACTCAGTAAACTGTATTAAAACCAGTAAAAAGCTAACCAGAAGGGTAAGCATTGTAGTGCATGGAACCAATAAGGATCAGGGCTCTATGACTTTAAAGGTCCCAAAGCACAGGATGGATGAGAGCCGGTGCACAGTACCTGGACCATAGTGGAACTAGCAGACAAGGTGTGTAGACAAACAAGCTGCCCAATGTCCTTGTGTGGTGTCAGACAAACTTGGTCGTGTTTCAAGGACGACTCCTCTTCCTCAGCTCAAAGTCCTTGAAACGCGTCCTGTGACCATATCAGTTCCGAGGGTGATGCCATTGGAGGACTGGGACCATTGTCAGTGAGGACATTGGGCAGCATTTATGTTTATACACCTTGCCGGCTAGTCCACAACAGTCCGGACACTGTGTACCGCCTCCCATCCATCCTGTGCTTTGTGCAGCTGACCTTGCCAGCATAGGGTCTTTGGTATACAAAGCCATACCTGTACTAGAAAAGTAAATATACTTTCTGGTAACCTGTTTGTTGAATCTCTGCCTCTTCACTTCTACCCACCCAATACATGTATTCCACACTTCTGGGAATGTGAAATATCTGATCCTCTGCTGCATGCTATAGTTTTTCTCTCAAGCCTGTATGTCACTACAGGATGTATTAGCTGGAGGAAGAAACCGCAGCAGGTTGCAGGGGGGAGCAACGCAGCAACAGGAATTCAACATGAGCCACTGGAAAAGTAATATATTAATTTTTCTTTTATAGGTATGTGTTTGTATGCAAGCAAGCCTGTGGTGACAGGGGCATTTTTAGATTGTTTTTATTTTACTTTCCAAAATATGAATTACAATTAAAATATTTTTATCAGTGGTTTCTGTATTTTTTTTATCTTGTTAGAGGCAATAATTTATTAAATCGGTTTCTGTCATTTTGTCTTCCAGCTGTTTTCTGTAATTCCACAGAAGTTCCTAAGCCTTAGTCGTAGCCCTTGCTGGTACCAGAAATATGATGGGAATTACAGCACTGATCCCTATGGGAAAAATGGCTATTCCTTATATGCCAAACGTTTACACGCCATTTTTGAAGAGATGCGGCAAGGGTTCCAGGAGCGACTTCAGCTGATTGAGGGGCAGCATTACCGCTTGCGTTGTTTACCCCACTTCTACATCATTGGGCAGCCCAAATGTGGCACTACAGACCTCTATGACCGCTTACGTCTGCACCCTAATGTCCAATTCTCTGTCATCAAGGAGCCTCACTGGTGGACCAGGAAACGTTTTGGTAAAATGTTTGCTTTAGTAATTCCTCCATACAGTATACTGACTACTTTAAAAGTGATTGTTGTATATTAAAACTCCCCAAAAAAACCTAAAACAAATTGCAGACCTATTTACACCATAACTTAAAGAATATCTAAAGACAAACTTGTTTTTTTTAATTATGCATAAAATTAGCAATAGTTGAAACCACTGTCAGTCTTTTTGCTCTATGTCCCATTGGGGAAATTTCCCTTTATTTCATGCTCTATAGTAGTGGTCTCCAGACTTTCTAAGCAAAGGGCCAGTTTACTATCACTTAGACTTTACAGTTGCCTGACTGTGGCCAGCAGAAATATAAAATGCCCAACGTTAGTAGGAATAGATTATGTCTTCAGGCTTGGTGGTCTGTGCGATTAAAAAATTACATAACCTCTGTACCCAGTAGGTGGACGAATAGTGTCCCATCATTGGTGTTAGTGGGAGGAATATTGTCCCATAATTGGTGTTAGTGGGAGGCATAGTGCCCTATCATTGGCGTCAGGAATGGTGTCCCACTATTAGCATACGTGGAAGGATTTGTACCTCATCAATAGTATCAGTGGGGGAAATGGTGCATCATCAATGATGTCAATGGGAGGAATAGTGCTTCATATCACTGGGAAGAACAGTGCCCCAAGGGCAGGATAAAGGCAAGCCAAGGGCCACATTTAGCCCACAGGCTGTGGTTTGCAGATTACTGCTCTGTAGAAACAACAAAAAGTAGGGAGAGATCCCTTCATAGTGAGGGAAGTCCACTCTTAGACAGTTGTAACTGGAACAAGTGTCTCCACTAGAAAATTCTGTTTTTGTTCTAGTAACGACCATAAAATTTGGTATCTCCTAGAACAGTGGTCTCCAAACTGCAGCCCCAGGGGCCGGATGCAGGCCTTTGCTTGCTTTTATCTGGCCCTTGGGGCATTATTTCACCCACTGTCATAAACAGAGAGGCATAGTTCCTGCCACTGAACATTGACAGTGGGGCACAATTCTTATACCTCTCTGCTGGGCCCAAGGACAGGGAATAAGTGATGCTGAAGTAAGGCACCAAAAATATTCTTGGCTTATAGTGCAAATATGTTAACCCACAGTTAACTTTTTAAAGAAAAACTTCACCCCCTCAGTAAGAATGTATTTTTTTTCCCACTACGTCTTGTGTTTCTTTTTATGATTTAATAATATACTTACAAGCCCAATGGATCCAGCATTCTCTTGTCCTCTTGCCCCACCATCCTCCTACAGGTCTTGTTCTATTGTCCCATGCCGCCATCTTTTTTGTTTATACCATGAAGAGTTGGCTGCCTTTTGTCTGGCTCTTACACCCCCCCCTCCCCCAATGATGCAGTGCCAGATCACACACACATTCAGCCTCGAGTCTGCTTACTTGGTTTTTCTATGATTGAAGACTAGTAAGACCTCCTGGGACACTGATGCCACGTAACCCAAGAGGCATTATTATTGTTTATTCATAGAACAATATGTAAATATAGATTGCGCCAGATCTCTGTGTGCACATGCACAAGGGCTGGCACTGCTTGCTTATTTGAATGAAACATAATGCCTCCTGGGATGTTTGTATCCCAATAGGAAGCAGGAGGAAAACAGGAGTGAAACATGTTTGCCTTGGTGAGAATGGCATCAGGTAAAAAAGGCAGAAACATTTGTCAAAGGTCAACTTTTTTTAAAACGTGGAGGGAGAGGATTAGAAAGCTGTTTTGTGAAGGTCTACTTTAAGAATGTTTTCTCTTCCTTTTTCCCCTGAAGGAATTGTGAGACTAAAGGAGCCATTCCACAAACCCTTCCCATTGGAGGATTACCTGGACTTGTTCGATTGGGCAGCACAGAAAATCCAAGATTTTCATAGTGAAGACTCAGAAGGAGAGGCAAGGATGAGGGATCCCATTGTTATAGGTAAGAAACTGTGCAAGATACATAATGTGCAGTATACGTAGAGGAATCCTATGTGCTCTCTGTTTATGTGAGATAACAAAGAGTGGCCTTTTCTTCTAGGAGAAGCCAGTGCGTCCACCATGTGGGACAATAGTGCCTGGTCTTATTTCTATGATAATGTCACCAACACAGAACCGCCTGTTCTCATCCAAGACTTCATTCATGCCTTCCAGCCACGAGCCAAGTTCCTCATCATGCTCCGGGATCCGGTGGAGAGGTCAGTCAAAGGCTAATAGGATTCATGAAGTCAATACAATAATTTGGACACAACATTCAGAGCAGTCAAAAGAGAATACCAGTCAGGATAACTCCTCCCCCCCCCAAAAAAACCTCTATAATCCTGTGCTGACATTGTCTTCCGCAGGGGTACAAGTTTGGTGTTATGGACATGGCTGGAGGAGGTTGAGGGGGGGACAGGCTGGTAATGGACTAAACTGCATTGTATGCTGTGGCCTGTTTGTGACCATCGCACACAGAAGCAGATTAGAAACAGGCCCAATATATACAGTAGAGTGCTTTTTATCTAGTTTTTATTAGGCTCACTGTACATGTTAGGATTTAATTGTACAATATGTTTTTGATCTGTGAATAACTATGTTGCACAAGAGCCTGCCTGATTGGATACAAGTTGAATTGATTGTTTAGGTAGGCCCTCACAGTAAATCTAAAATTTGTTGTGGGTAACCCTGCTGGCACCACCCTTCCTAACAAAAGTTGACTTTTGTCAAAGGAATGTGTGGAAAATTCTCAGCCAAACAGCGCTTGCATCCAATCTCCTAGATTGTAAGCTCCAAGTAGCAGGGCCCTCCTATCCCTCTTGTATTGAACTGTATTGTTGCTGTATTGTCTCCCGTTATATTGTAAAGTGCTGAGCAAACTGTTGGCGCTATATAAATCCTGTATAATAATAATAATCAGATAGAGGCACTGTTTGGGTATTCTGACAGCCATGAGTAGGTAGGCCCTCACAGTAAATCTAAACAAAATGTAAATTAGTGCTTGGACTCAGCCCAGCCCACCCCCTACTGGTCTATAGAAGGCCATACGCAGATCAAATTTCAGCTGATTCTTGCTGAATCAGCTAAAATTTGTTGGGGGTAACCCTGCTGGCACCACCCTTCCTAACAAAAGTCAACTTTTGTCAAAGGAGTGGTGGAAAATTCTCAGCCAAACAGCGCATGCATCCAATCAGATACAGGCACTGTTTGGGTATTCTGACAGCCATGAGTACTGGTGGACCACAGTGGACCCAAAAAGAGGAGGATTGGGGCTGCACTGTGCAATTCCATTGCACAGAGCAGGTAAGTTCAAACCTGCTGCTCATTAAAACAAATGAGTTTGCAATCACTTTGAGCCATCTGGCTTCTTCTTGCAGAAACATTGCTCTGGCCTCAAGCTTAGGTCTTTTGTGTGTCCTGCAGACCATCTCACAGCACCACTGTGCTCATGTACATAAAAACTGTACCTCTCTCTTGCAGCTCCCTGCTGTTCTGGCCCACACCTTGTCCTCTGGGCAGGGACCTCCTGGTTCCCAGGTGGAACCCTTGATTATGAAGGTTAGGCAAACCTGTACACACAGCCTACTAGTCCCCAGTAAAACCTAGACCCAGGGTTAAAGGCTTCTTTCCTCCCAAGACTCTTCAAATCCTCTGGACACCAGAACCCAATCCGGGAGCTACCAATCCTGGAGCCAACAGAGAAAAACAATTCCGTTCAGCACAGACATTCTGAATCCCCTCAACCTACATCTTAGAGAGCCCAATGTGGTCTTTAATCTGCCAACATAGTGCCAGTGTAAGCCAAAAAGAGACTGTTCTTAGTAGAAAAGTCTGATATTTTGCTCAAACGATCAAAACAAATGTGTCTACAAAGATATAAAGCTCGGACAGATGAAGCCATCTTCTCCTGTATAGTCTGCCTGCATTCCTAGACCCTGCTGATTGCGTGATGACAGAAGGAATGCAAGATGGAAATTCATAAATGGAGGAAACAATTACTGGAAGCAAAACATATAGATATAAGCTGTTCAGCAGATTTCCTGCCTCTTTTCTGTCCCAGCATATAAAACACATGAACCGAGTTTTCATAAAAATGTTTGTTGAGACGTTTTATGAAATTTCAGTTACACAAATTCAGTCTTTCTGATTTAATATAAGATAAGAGGAACAAAGGACAGAAAAAAAGTATAGAATCAGAAAAATAATTTGTTAATACTAGTTGCCTGACTGCCATTGGATTTAATATTTTTATAGCCACCATCCTGGAAAAAAGCATACAGATTACTTACTGTAGCTAAACTAAAATGATCAAAAGGAAAACATGGGGCCGCAATCACTGTCTTCCTTCTGAACATGCAAGTTGAGTGTTGGTTGTCCCTGGTGCAAAGGACTACCGTACCATGCTATAAGCCATGGATATCCTGTAAGCGCTCAATACTTTGAGTCACTGATCCAGAACAATTATGCAGATTCAGAAATTCTTTTTCCTCATAATTCACTTTCTGTGCTTGCTGACAATACATCTCCAAAGAGGGAGAAACACAGCCTTGATCCCCAGTGCCATCATCTGCATCCCCTTTAGGCCATGAGGTAGGTGCTGGTAACTTCCCTATTGGATGTGTCAGTAGAGCACAAATCAAGTGATATTGGCCTCAGTCTATAAAAGCATAGTGCATTTAGGCATTTTAATTCCTGTGTATTATTTGCTTATTTTAACCACTTTGCATCAGGGACACTTTTTTTTTTTAATTTTTCCCATTTATGTTATACTCAGAATTTTTTGCTAGAAAAGTACTTTAGAAAAGGCCCTGGAGATTAAAATGGTGGCTGTTGCAATTTTATATATCACACAATATTTACGCAGCTGTTTATAAAACACATATTTTCTGGACAAAATACACTAAAATGAATATTAGTGCACACAATCTAAATATAATTAAAATATGGTGAAAATACAGAGAGCGCTCAGGATAAAAATGCCATAAGCTGCGTATGCACCAATATAGAAGCCCTAAAACCTAGTGAACAATACAAAAATATAGGAAGGGTGCAGCGCTAGAAAATACTATATAAAAAAATATTAAATAAAATTATTAAAAGTGTACTTCAAATTCAATAATAATCAATAATAGAGGTTATAACATATAGACATAAGTGAATATAGCGCTATGAAAGGTGCCAAACATAATTGTGATCTTGTGAATAGTCTATAATCCAAAAAAGATTTGTACATGCTTGACGCGGTCAGGTCAGCATATTATTGCTCCATATAATTAAATTGCTCTAGTGACTTCCAGTATATCCATGTGACTTAATCCATGCGAAAGACTGTAAAAATGCGCACTCACCAGATGCGCATATTATATGTGCATTAAGCTGAATATGAATCTGTAGGGAGCCCCTTTAAGTAGATCTGCCAGACAGCATGGAACCAGGATCCCTCCTCTGGACACAAAGCTTTCTCTGCAGCCACGCTTCCACTGGGGTCCTCTGCAATCCTTAGCTGAGGTCAGAGCCAATAACATAAATGCCTCATAGTGTAGTATTAAAAGTAAATTTATTGCTTAAAAATAGTAACTAGATGGTCATCCAAAGAATATCCGCAATTAATAGTAAAAAAGCTATATATTGGCTGCTGAAAAACATGTGGCTGATCAGCCACTCACTAAGATGGCTGCCGGACCTTTGTGCAGCTCTGGCAGCGTGACATCACGGCGTACGGCTCCTCCTTGATGCGTTTCGTGCACACGCACATTTTCAAAAGGGGTGTGCCTGAATCTCAATATAATACCCAATTTCTGGTGAAAGATAAAATATGTGGTTGCGGTGAGTGAATGGATAACAAATATTTCAAGACTCTTACTAAAATTGATCGGGTGACTATGGAGCTGACCTGGATCACTTTTGCTGAACAGGCTAAAAATATGACACCAGCTGCAGCCACGAGCTTGGTGTAACCTATTCCCATAGGCCAGGATAGTTTAAAAAGGTCTAAGGATGTGAAGTGATTAATGTTCAAATTGCTTTTGTTAAATTCCCAGAAAATATTACAGGTTTATCAGACACACATTTTTAAAGGTATTTTGACTGTAAAAGTCAAATCACAAAGTACAAAGAACACTGACCAGATCTTGTTCTTACCGCAAAAGGATGTATCTGTACCTCCTTGGGAACATATGGTTATGCCAGGATCATGATTTTGATATCAAACCTTTTATCCTGCAATGGGTTACAATATAAAAGTGATCCAGGTGGCTATACAGCCACCTGATCACTTTTATAGGTAGTGGAAAGTTTCCTCTCTCGTGCCATTCCTGGGCTGTCTTTTCCCACCAGGGAGCCTGGGATTGCTGTGGGAAGTCCTGGTGACTGACCATGGAGAAGGAGGAACATCCATTCCCAAAACTTCTTTATGGTGTAAGAAACCAGAATCGGTGAGAATTTTATCACTTTCCGGTTTTGGTTCATTGTTTACTGGTCATTACCAGCTTGCAAAAAGCTGATCACAATGATCTCAATTTAATTGGCTGCTTTGAAGGGCAGTGGAGGGATCGTGGGTCTAATAGACCCCAGATCTCTCAATAAAGAGGACATGTCAGTACCTGCTATCACAGGGGATGTTGTTCATCCCTTGTGATGACAATAAAGTTCAATAAAAACTAATTGAAAGAAAACATATACAAAAATATATCATGTTTGGGGGTGATATGTAATTTTCTAGCCAACAAATGCTGATTTTAACATGTATGTGATAAATGTCAGAGTAGGCTCAGGCAGCTAGTGTGGGTTAGTGAGGAGAGCCGGAAAAGGAAGCCATCTGAGGTTTTTGGTAGGTAAACTAACATTTTTGTGAGGTAAACTAGCACTTCATAAAAATATTCGACTTTTTCCATAGATTAATGCTAACTTTGTGTGGAAAAATATAAAATCCACACCAATGCACTGTTTGTTTTTGAAATTTGAACATCTTTGATATGAAAATGATCATGAGATAAAGTAAGGGCCTGTGTGGATGGACTTTGGTTCACTTCAAATGGCTATTAGATTCTCATATCCAAGTCTATGGCAATGCAAAATCTCCTTAAAGTGTTACTAAGCCCACAACAGTAAAATCAATCTGTGTATGCAGTAAAGCATGCTTGTTATACTCACTGTGGAACCTAAGGGGTTAATCCTCTACATTGTGTAAAAAGACTGTTTGATCCTGTCTTCTCTAATC